AGATCTAGAATCCACTTCTGGCTAACCAAAAATTGCCAAAGAAAGCAGGAGGATTCTATGTTGTGGATTCAAAGGCCCCTTCGGACAGAAAGGCACAGGCACGTAGCCCCAGATGTTGAGGATGACTCCAAACAGGCCAAGGAACTTCCACAGGCCCCTGGCAGGTTCGTCTGATTCAGAGAAAGCCCCGCGCGAGAGCACACGCTCCTCCCCGGTGCTCTGGGAAGTGCACTGCGCTCTGCCATGGGAATAAGAACACAGTGCGCCGAGTGCGGGAGTCCGGAGGCCTGGATTGTACTTCCGTCTCGGTGACTCGCTGGCTTTGTGGCCAAGGGCAAAAGCCCTTGCTGCTCGAAGCCACGCTGCCTCGGGTCCAACAGGGCAAAGGCCCTAGGTCTCCCCGAGTGAGTGCCACAGCGAGGGTGGAATGGGGTCGGCTAGGCCAGCCCAAGGGACAGCCGCAACGCACACCCCGGTGTAAGGCCCACGCAGCTGTATCTATTTAAATTAACTAAAACTGTCAAGTAACAACTCCAGTTCCTCAGACCCGGGGGCCACACCTCAAACACTCCACGGCCACCTGCGGCTAACGGCTACCCCAACAGACAGCACAGAGACAGAGCATTTCTCTTAATGGCAGAAAATCCTACCGAACAGCCCTGAGCTAAAGGACTCCTACGACTCTACTAAGCGATTACTGGCTCTCCCAAGAACTCTGCGGCCCATAACGCTGCTGCTGCTGGCAGGGACGAACACAGTGGCAGCTGGGAGGTGCCCAAGGGTTCGCTCCGTGGAGGACCTCCCACCTCCTCCCACTGCCCCTGCTCACCGAGGCCCCGGACGGAGAAGCCCAGCTCAGGCCTGGCCTCGGCCTCCTGCTCCCCTCCCCGCACACAAGAGCATCCCGCCCTTCTTCAGGAAGTTGGGATGGAGCTGAAACGGGGCCTAAAGGACTAAACCCCCGAGGCACAAGGTACTGCGGCTGGAACCAGATTGCTCAAGTCAATCCAGGAAAATGGAAAATCGTGCCTTAAGAGGATGAACACCACAGATGACCTTAAGTTGCAATATCCAATTTCCGGGATCAGAACATGTGGCCTAAGTGTGCACGACTCCACCTTCTGGTAGCCAGCTGGGGAGGACCCACACGCCCACAGACCCGGGTGCAGAAGCTCTACCTGTGTGGCTCATCCAGACCAGGACGAAAGAAACGTTTTTACCACCTACTAGAGCCGGAAAGGCAGTTTTCCAAGAGAAAAAAAAACACCCCAGACCACTTAGGGTCCTCAGCTCTAGAAGGAAAAGAACAGATCAAAATGAGGAGAATGTCACTCCCGGAATGTGAGCCAACTGCCCACATGGCTTGTGGCCCATCTGTTCAGCTGGACTGGGACCTAAACTCTCTACCAGCCATCCAGGACCACATCTCTTCAATTCTCATATTCAAGCAACGCTGTCAAAAAAGGAGGACCAAGGCCTGGGAAAGAAGGTACATGGTACAGAAAGACGTGGACATAATCCCACGGACCCGGCTGCCTAAAAGCACGGGCAGTCGGCCACACAAGCCAGGGGAGGGGAGGGCCGCAAGAAGTGACTTCTCCCAAACACCTGAGCATTTAGGCCAGCATGCCCGGCCCTCTGAACACCCCAGGTCTGTAAACAGCGCTGCTGCCTTGCATCATGATCAGAACGAGATCAAGCAGATCTTCACATGCTGAGAAGAGCGGGCGCTGAGAGTACGTGGCTATACTCACATTCCAACAAGCACGCTCGGAGGCCCTGAGGGAGTGAAGACAAGCAGCCCGAGCAGGACAGGCGGGACTGTCTGTGAGCTGGTCTGGGGTGGCACCCAAGGGGCAGAACACACAGATACCTGCACTGCGCCTTCCTAGATGGGCAAGTGTGTCTCAAAGACGCCGACGGGACAAGCGGCAATCTGTTTCGTGTGCTCGCTGCCAGTGTGCTGAATTCTGCGCAAGAATTCAGGTTACAGCTCAGAGTCTGATGTTCTTCATGACAAACACTGGTGAGTCCCTGGATTTAATGGAGTGGAGAGAAAAATCAACATGCAAGCAGCTGGTATTTTGCTATTTCCACCCCTCTCCTCTTGTAGTCTAGACCAGTGTTGTCGCATCACTAGAACATTCTGCAGTGATGGAGGTGTTCCACAGCTGCCCTACGCAACGTGGTAGCCCCGAGTCCCACGTGGCCACTGAGCGAAATGTGACTAGTGTGACTGAGGACCTGAAATTTTTCATCTTATTTATTTTTATTTAATTTTTTAGGATTTTTTTTTTTTTAAGTACTCTCTACACCAGCGTGGGGCTCGAACTCACAACCCTGAGGTCAGGAGTTGTACGCTCTACAGACTGAGCCAGCCAGGGGCCCCTGTGTGTAATTAATTTAAATTTAATTGCCACATGTGACTAGTGGCTACAGAATGAACACAGCTCTAGACTCAAGAACCAGGTAAAGAATTCACACATTGTGTATTCTAAAGTGGACCACCATTAATACACAGCTGGGGTCAGTAATTCCAGTGGGTGGTATGGCCCTGGGCTGGGCCTTTAAATACAAGTCATGCCTTGGAGTTTGCAGCCACTGGCAAATCTGGAAAGCTTGCCCAAAGTGTTGCTCTGCTCCAGCTCCTGCCCCAAACCAGGCAATGTGTCCTTCGCTTTCAGCATAAAGCAGACTCCAGCTGGGTGTGTCAAGCAATTCTGGAAAGTGGTCTTCCAATGTGAAGCTGAGATCTGAGTCAGCACAAATGTGACATGGAACAAACTCATTTAAGAGAGCCATAAACAGCCTATTTCAGTCATAAGAGCCAATAATATGCTTGGGCCTCTTAATCTACGGTGCTGGGCAATCAATTAATCCAGCCTGCCCCACCCAAACAGTCTTTGCACCCACTGAGCAGGAATGGAGGTGTGCCCAGAAGTTAGCTAGCTGGCCCAGCAGCGGGTTATGTTTCCACCCCCTGCTCAGCATGGGAGGATCTTAGGGAAACCGGGCTCAGACAGATGACTCCTCCAACAGAGGCTGGCTAGGGCCTCCCAGCAAAGGCAAACAGAAAGGGTCTCCCCCAGCCACACACCACAGTATCTGGGAGAGATGGGGCCACCCGAGTCACAAAATTTGATGCCCCATTCCTGGCTGACATACAGCATCTGCATTTGTGAGCAGAGCCTTCAGTTCTAGGCCAAAGGTTGCAACCTGCACACCTAGGGAGACTAGGCAGGTAACCGCAATGAGTCAAGCTGTCAGGTGAGTAATGAACTAGAGAGCACTTGCCCTGACCAAGAAAAGTCGGCCACTACTCAGCTTTTCAAGGACAGTTTTATGTGAAATCTTTCAACTTATAAGTATTGGCAACTGATTTAAATTCTTTTTAAAACCTGAGGATCAACAGTCAAGGGCTGGATTCAGCCTATGGGCTGCTAGTTTGCAGACTCAGTTCTGAATTAATGCCTGTCTCCAACCAAGGAGATAAGACCCCCAGTATCTGATTTCTTAGATCAATAAAAGCTTAACTCGTGCTGGCACAACCCTTGTATGGTGTCTGGGGCATTCCTATTTGGCTCTTCCAGCTGTTTTTATCCAGTAAGGAGAAATGCCTTTCTCTCGGCTACTCCGGCTTTTCTAAACAGGATTAATGGTCGCATTAAAGATTTGAAAACGTTTGCAGGTTTACAGGCCATCTGGAAACCATCGAGGTCACTTCTTTAACTTCTTCCTATGGTCTGATCTAAGAAGTAGCACATGGGAGTTGGAAAAACAAAAATTATCTGCTTGCCATTCACTGCTTTTCCACACAAGAGGAAGTGCAGAACAGACAACGTTGGATAACTCTGAGCTTAAGAATAAAATGCAAGCTGGTCTATCACAACTACCAAACAGGAAGGATCTTCTGAGCTGAAAAAACCATCTGCATGCAAGAGCAACAAGTATGTGATGGAATCAAAGAAAACGAATAATGAGGATAGTTAAGAGAAAGGGGGGGGGGGAAGAGAGAGAAAGAGAACTCTTCTGGGTAATAAGCTTCTCCAAAGAGACAAAAAAAACGCAAACACCAAACTTTCTTGCTGACCTCGGCTATACAAACCAAGCCACAACACAATGGACAGAGCAGCTGAATCCAGGTGACTCCACCAATACAAATCCTTCCCCAAATTTCTAGTAGCTGAACAGCTTCTAGTGGCTTCTACTAGCTGAAACTGCTTTCCTGAACCAAAAACTGTAAATTCAACACGAAACACAAAAACCATTCCAATCTCATCTTCTAGAAATCAGTTCTCCAAATCGAGATCCACCTCGGAAGAAACAAGCCCCTAGCTCCCTACCCACACATCATTCATTAGGAAAGGTCACTTTAAAGGACTTCCACGGCAGGGGCGCTTGCAGAGAACCCTCGAAAAGTCGCAAGAATCGAGGGTTCGAGGAAGCGGCCGGCTCTCGGCCCGGGAGACAAACTGGGAAAGGTTAAAGCTAGCCTGATAAACGTGCAGACCGCACTGCCCTTCCCGCCCGCAGCTGGCCCACTCGGTGAACGGCTCCCGGGAGCCATTCCTCACCACGTCAGGGGTCGCGGGCGAGATGGCCACGCTCGTGGCCAGGCGGGACGGGAGCTTCGGCCGCCGGATGCTAGGCGGGTCCCTTGGGCCTGCGCGGGGCTCCCGGTCCTTCCCGCGTGGCCCGGGCCCGGCCCGGCCCCTCTATGGCCGCGGCCCACCTCGCCCGGCCCCGCCATCGTCACCTCCCCTGAGCCTTCCGCGGAGGCCGCTTCAGCCGGGCTAGAGCGGGTGCCGGCTCCCACCCAGATCCTGGATCGGCCGGGACAGGAACCCCTCGTACCCCGCAGGGCTACGAGGAGGGCGGGTGGGCGGAAAGGGGAGCCCGGGGACGAAGGCAGGGACCGCGCTGCAGCTCCAGGAGGCCTCACTGGCCTCCAGGCTCCAGAGCCACTCGCCCTGGGAAAGCAACAGGCCCCCGGATCTCACCTCTCACGGACGCTGCCGCCACTGCTGCCCGGGCCAAGACGCCTCCTTCCCCAAGCGGCCATCTTGGAGACACTCAGCTCGCAAATGTCTCGCGCCAAGGCGGCCTCGGGATAGTGGGCGGACGGAAGGGAAATGTAGTCCGGGCCACAGCTCCGGACTGTACGGGAGGTGGAAATCGAGCCCCCCAGGACTACAATGTCCACCATGCATCGCGCGCGCCGGAAGCTCCGCCTCTTTGAGGTCGCCTGGGAAATGTAGTCCTCAAACCGGGCGGAGCGAAGGAGGCAACCTGGGAAGAGTCCTATTCAGAGCACCTTTTTAGAAATTAAAATTCCCAGAGTTCGCAGCCTAGGAGTCACAGGCGCCTTGGGCTTCAAGAGCAACGAGCTGGAGAGTGGAAAGAAAGTGCCTACAACTCCCAGAGCACCGCGCGGGAGGCGTCCCGCCGCTACCCGCTGCAGTCGCCGAGGGGCGCCGCGCTTTCTGTGGGGCCCGCCCGCCGCTTCCCGGTCCTACCCGCGCTCGCCGCCCTCGCGCCGGTCCCGCCGCTGGCCTGTGCAGCCGCCGGCTGGGTCTCGCCCTCCGCGAAGGCGGCCCGACCTGCCCTTCACAGCCGCCTCTCCCCACTAAGGTCACCGAGGGGCCGGAGGCGCCACCGGCCTTTCTCAGAGGCCCTCGCTACTCCCGCCGCGTTCCCCCGAATTCCCTGGACTCCAGGGATGCTGTGGGGACAAGACAGACGCGGTCCCTTCTGCCACGAAAGTCCCTGCTTACAGACTGTTGGAATCGAGAGTCTCAAAGCAAAGAAGAGAAAGAACCAAAAGTGATCATTGCTATGAAAGAAACAGGGTCCTTTATAGAGAAAAGCCCATTTGAGATAGGGCCACTTAGGCCCTTTGGTCTCCACCGCACAGCCCACTCCTGTCTTGGTGCGGGGACGTGAATATGATCAATCTTCTATTTCGGTGTCTTTGAGGGTATATGCAAGGTAAATCACCCCGCCTGGCGGGAGCCCTGCCCGGGACGTGGCATTTCCCTGCCTGGACGCTGCTGTGAAGAGTCAGGATGGACGAAACCCGACCCAGTGATTCATGGACGCTACTCCAACGGACCTCTGGGCTATTTGGAGGAGGAGCGTTCACAGTGCTGGAACTTGTCGTCTCTCTCCAGTTTTCCACAGACAACGTTAGGACACGTTAGTTGGTTCCATAAATATTTGAGCAACTCTTGTATGTCAAAATCTGTTCCAGATTCCGAGATAGGAAAAAGTCTGGCGGAGCTCAGCACGCCCGGGCACGGGGCTGTCAGGTGTAGATGGCACTCTTAGCATTGAGGATGCCTCCGTATCTCCTTCCAGCTCACGTTGTACCATAGATTTAAATGCCTGAAGTCCTCTTACAGTCCCTCATTACCTATATGATGAACTTCAAGCTCCTTAGCACAATCTAGAAGCCCCTCCATAGTTTGGAGTTTGTCTATCTCGCCAGCTTCTACTGCCTCTCTTTCCTGCCTGGAACTTGCCAGGAGAGCGAATGCGTGCTTTCCGTAAAATGTCTTTTTCTCCCAGCCAGCTATCCTTTAGACTTCAGGCCTGTCTGGTACCTCAGAAGTGCCCGCTCAGGTCACACAACACGGCCTCGCAGTGCCAGCGTGTATGTGACACGTGGCTAGAGACCTCTGAACAATGATCACGCTGCCTCGTCATTACCTACAGACAGACCCGTTCTCTCTGGACCAGGGTGGTGGTGAAGAGGGTCTCTAGGGATTCTAGAACAGCTGGGTGTGAAGCCTGGCTCCACACTCTGCATCTAGGGCTGCTTCTATAACCTGTTTCTCAGTTGCCTTGTTTGTAGAGTGGGGGTGATATTAGTATCTCTCCTCGCAGGACTGCTCTGAGCATTACATAAGATGATTCATGTATGGAACTTGCACATACATGTTACACAGGTAACAGCCGATGGTGATGTCACGCAAGCCCTGTTCTAAATCTGTTAAGTGACTTAACCATTGATCTCCACAACAACAACGGGAAAGCGATGCTGTTATTATCAACATTGTTACTGTGTAAATGAGGAAACCGAGTCACAGAGGACCTGAGTGACTTTCCCAGGTCACCCTGCCGGTCGGGAGTGGTGCCGGCGACTGAACCGAAGCTGTCTGGTTGCAGAGATTACACTATGCTGTGGCGCCTCTCAGGAGGAGGCTGGAAATGCCATTGTCTTCATCTACGAGGACAGGTCCCAGGCCAATGTGTAATGCACAGAGGAAATGTAAGTAGGCAAACAGCTGTGCACCTAGGCTGATCGTCCCGCCTCCCCGGCTCTTGCACTTACCTTCTAGCAGGCCATCTGCTTCCAGTCGGCTGACATGAGCTGAGACACAGCCCCCTCACCCCGCAGTGTTGCCTCTGGATCACTCTTACTGCCCAGGCGTCTTCTGGAAGGTTTATAGGCAGGTTAGTTCACTCAGCCTGTAGTAACTGAGCACCCATTGAGGGCACAGCCTGAATGGTGGAAGTTGGAAGTCCTGTGGCCTCCCAGGCAGTGAAGCCTCCTGAAGAGACCCTTGAACTGCTCGCAGACAGAAAGCGGGAAAGGTGGGTCCTAGCTGGTGCTCAAAAATCATTGAGCACCCTTTTCATTCATTCATTCTTAGCAAATAAGTATTGAGTGCCCTCTGTGTCACCCTCTTAGGCACCAGAGACACAGCATTTAGTAAGATGAACACTGTTCCTGGTCTCATGGGCTTTTCAGTCTAGTGCGATCACAACCAAGTACCTATTTTCAGAGGATTTCTAAGAAGACACGAAGCAGGATGATGTAGTAGAGTGACTTGGAGACTATGGGGGGGCGAGAGGAGATCTCTTTGAAGAGGTAACATTTGCCTGGGACCTGAGTGGAGAGCGTGTGGTCAGGTAGAGCTGGAGACAGACTGTTCTGCCCCGAGAGAATCCGCGTGGAGGCTCTGGCGTGTGAGCGAGCTTGATGTGTTCCAGAAATGGGACGGGGCTCACTGCAGCATGGCGAGGGACGAGAGGTAGTGGGTTTGCCTTCGGCTAAGTCACTTCCTGTCTTTGAGTTGCCATTTTCGCCTCTGTAAAATGGGTGTAACTTTCTCTGTGTGTTAGTCAGTGTCTAGTTCGGGGGCAAAGCCACTGTAGGTATTTCAGGCGGAAGGAGTTTACAGAGGTGTTGGGAGGGCAGGAGAAGCAAGGGGACAATGAGGACGCTCACAGACTAGTAACCGGCGGGAGCAGCTGTGGCCCCTGAGACTGGGGGATGGGCGAGCAAAAGAAAAGCTCGTGTTTCCCAGAACCGTGATTCCCACTTGCTGGAGCAGGAGCTGAGTGTCACAGCCCTGGGGCTGCTCCTGTCACCACGGCGGCCTGAGGCGCCACAGCGCCCTGGGCGGGATGGCTTCTCCCTCGCTGCCGTCCCCCGAGCCCCTGCCCGTGCCTGCTGTCGGCCGAGTCACTGACAGGGGCGTCTGCGAAGTGTGCTTTGCAGGGTGGGATGAACAGGGCAGACGCACTGTCACACGGCGACCACGCACGCCTGCGGTGAGCATGGGCCACGACGTATGTGTGCTCGCAGGCCTCCCAGCACCCGGGAAGCCAGCAGAGACATCCTGGTAGACTGTGTTCACATGACGCTCTGGACTTAGGACTCAGAGCGTCAGAAGTGAGCATCTTAAAAATAGAATTTTAATTCTGAGTGGATACTATATTCACACGGCATCAGATTCAAATGCAGTGACAGTAGGTTTCTCGGACCCTGCTCTTCCCATGACCTAGTCCTTCACACCTGCTGGAGCTGTGGCTTGTTCCTCTCTTACGTGTCTTGTACAGATACTCCGACGTAGGCAAACGTATCCATCTACTACCAACAGCTGTCTCCTGTCACCCCGAGGGGGCATACTGTGCTCAGGCCGTGTGACTTGTGTCCACTTCCCCGTATCCTGGAGACCACTCTGGGCAGACACTGGCTCTAACAGCAGGCGCCATGCCGTGCTCAGAGATGCCATGGTTTTATCAGGCAGCCTCCCAGTAGCGTTTTACTGTTCGAAGAGGCCTGCGATCCGTGTGCTTGCACAACTTCCCGGTGCCCGTGCAATGATTTCCTAAAGACGACTTGCTGGGTCAGTGGGCGTGGGCACTGGTCGCCTTGGTAACAATGGCCCGAGCACCCTCCACTCCCACCAGCAGGGGCTGTTTCCCCACAGCTCCACCAGCACAGTCTTCACGACGCCCCCACTGAGGCCCCAGACATTGGGGGCAGATGTGCTCTGCCCCGTCTAGGTTCCCGACCCACGGACTCCATGAGCAGACAGACACGGCCCTTCTTTTCTGCGACCGTGTTTTGAGGTGGCTTGTTCCACAGCGGTAGACACCTGAAACAAGCCCTTCCTAAAATCCTGTATTGGCAGATGCTCTGCACTTGGAGAGACAGACGCTGGCCGCCCAGTGCTCCGTGGTGCCCAAGCCCAGTCATGAGCCCAGCCGCAAGCAACCCAGTGTCCTTCCAGGATGTTCCTGGGGAGCCTCAATCCTCCCTCCTATCAGCATCCCACCTCGGACACGGAAAGGGCCCTGGTGTGTGCACAGCCCATACTCCTGGGGAACCGCAAGCTCATGCCTCTTATCGCACACCAGTTGCCCCAGGTCCACGGCCTGAGTGTGGAAGAGGCACACATTGCCCCTAGTTGATCTCAGCGTCCTCCTCGGTGGAGACCGGTGGCCGTCAGCATGCGAGCGACGCCGCGCAGCAGTCGCTTTGTGGGAGGTGTTACTTGGCCATGTGTCACCCAGACCCTGCTCCTTCCCACAACCTAGCACAGGTTGATAGAGGAGGACGAGCCCAAGGCCCCTGCCTCCGTTAGCCCGCCTGGCCCGCTTCTCACTCAGGGCTGGGCCAAACAGAGCAGGGGTACTGGAGGGTGACACGGGAGTTCCGGTGTTAATATGAGGAGCTCCTGGACAAACTGGGCCAAGATGGGCTGATGATAACAGTGCCTTTTTATAGTTCATGTGAGAGCAGGTGCCTCCTGGGGAGCGTGAAGTAGGTGAGACATCTACTCACAGGTTGACTTCACAAGCAGGGGCCGGGGGACCTCAGGGGAAGTGGC